CATCGCACTCTGTCGACCAAGTTCGACGGGTTCCGTCGAGAGATGTTCCAACTTTCGACTCGCATAGCAGATGACCATTCGATGGTCATCCGACGGCTCCGATTCGGAGCATGACAAGTGGTATGTTTGTCAAGCTGATGAGGATCAGCCATCAGGGTCCGGCGCTCCCGAGGATTGACTCTCCACCAAGTGCGGTCAGGGCTTACGAGTTTTTTATCGATGGAATATGGACGCACTGAGCCGCCAAGAAGAGCAGAAGAGTTGAGTGATCCTGGTGCTGACTCATTTTTCCTAGAAGGGTTGCCTTTCTCTGGTCGAGTTTCCGATGCATCGATTAGGAATCCGAGTCAATGGATCCGGAATCTGGCTGTTGGATTCTCAGTATCACAACGTGATGATCATGTTGAGTTGAATTCATCCAAAATTTTTGGACCAAAACAGTCAGGTATTCACACCTCTGATGGAAACAATGTTCGGAAACAAAATTCCAAGGGCACCTTTAGGTGCGAACAGGAAAATCTCTGGATGAACTCCGAGAATGGATGAACCCCCTGACTATTAAAATTAAGAATCCCAATATTCTCAGTAAGACTGTCTTAACCTGGTTCTGTCCAACTGGTTGAATTTCTTCTTCGCAGTTGACATCGTGTAATTTCCCAGCAATTTCGATTGGTTATGCCAACTTCACTTTGCCAATCGCTTGTTGGTTGTTGGCCATTGGATTTTGGGTCCAAAAAACTATCAATTCTAACCGGAACTTCATCAGCCGGTTGAGTTTTTGTCGTGCAGCTGGTTTTTTGTACGGCCTGGGTTTCCCCAAGACCTTCGAATGGTGAGGTCAACTCTTTTTCCTCAACCATTGGAATTTGATGTGTCTTCCCTGATGATGGTTGATCTCCGCGTCCCATAGTGGTTGCCATTTTCGCTCATTCAGTAATTTAAAGACGGTATTGTTGAAGAACTCAGTTCTATTTCCCTACTGGAATGTGATGGTTCTCAATCGCGGAGCATAGCCAGTCGTCAAGATCGAATATCTTGCTGATTCAGTGAACTGTCTTAGAGAATTTGGAGGTGTGGCCTCATAGTCAATTAATCGGGAATCCCGATTTGGGGTATAGTTATAAGTTGAACGAAAGGCAATGAAAGCTGAGAGTTAGCTTTTTTTGCTGGGATCCACAACCGGGCTAGAGATCCAATGAAGAAGAATGGATAGTAATATGAGACCGGAAATAGAATGAGCCACAGACAAAAAATGACTACGATAATAAGGGTCGCTAAAGAGATAGACGTTCAGGTCTCGGCATCAACGGATAAGGGCGATTTGGAACAGACGAACATCTAATTAGTCGTCCAGGATGTGGATTCCAGGGGCTCAGGGAGGGACTTTCGGCGAACGATTACCGTGACAGAAAATGGGGA